AGGTTCTGGAAGCAGGTCGTGGGGAGTGCGCAGCCCTCCAGGCTCAGTAAAAACTGGCCTGGAGTGAGTTCCCACAAGGCCACTCGCCTTGGTAGCTCAGGCTGCCGTAAGAAGCGCCGCAGACCAGGCCGCTTCAACAGCAGCCGTGTGTTCCCGGGGAGCCAGAAGCCTGAGGTAAGGTCCCGCTTGGTCGGCTCTGTGAGGACTCTCGTCCTGGCTTGCTGTGTCCTCATGTGATGGAGACAGTGGGGGAGACCCTGATTTGGAGACTCATCCTGTTCATAGAGGGCTCACAGTCCTATAGGGTCAGAGCCCCACTCTTAGGACCGCATTTAACTTTAATTGCTTCCAAATACAGTTGCACTGGGGGTCAGGGGCTTCCACCTAGGAATCTGGGGGACTGATGAGTCCATCTGACACATCTGTAGTTGCTCACACAGTTCACTAAAGTTGGCATCTGGGAAATTGACCACCAAGGTCCTTAGACCTCAAGTTATCCTGTAAACATTTTTCTATGACTTACGTCAAGGTTTGGCCACCTTCCTGTAAAGGTATAGATTCTAACTGGGATTTTTCGAGGCACGCGTGCACGTGACTGCTCAGCCGTAGGCGTGGCCATGTGCCAACAAGACTTTATTAACAGACCGGTGGTGGGCTGATTTGGCCCACAGTCCATAATGCGATCACCCCCAACTTAAATAAGATAGCTGCTCAATAAAGAGAAAAATAAATAGCACACGGTTTGTACAAGCCCACAATCGAAAGAACCATGGTTATTGTTTGACAAATGCCCTTGGCTTTCTCTAAAGAGTTTTGCTCGTAATTGGGGCTTTACTGTCCTCAGGACTGTGCAGCGCGTAGTGCTTCAGATGACAGATCCATCCCAAGAACATTTCTGTCATTTAAATGGTGCTCTGGACCAAGGCTTCCCAGCAGCGTGCGGCACCGCTGCACGAGTCTGTCATTTATCTAACCTGTCCTGTTGCTGAGCATTGTGGTTGGAGCTCATCCAGTGCGTGTGTGCCTGTGTTCTTCCCAGGCACTAGCAGAGCCCGTCTTTGTCTGGAGTCCTCACTTCCTGGGGCAAGATCCCTGCGGGGGAGGCGGCGGGAAGCACTTGCTGCAGGTATGAGCGCGTCTGTCCGCCCTCGTCCACGCTTGTTAGAGCTGAGCCTTGGTCGGCAGCAGCCCAGCCTTGCTGGGGCCGTGAGGGCCAAGCTGTCCTGTCACAGCTCCTCCCGGGGGGCTTTGGGAGGCTCAGAGCTGTTGCTCCCCTCTGCTGGCACATTAAGCAGCACTTGTTTTCCTGCATGGAGTGGAGGTCACCCCTGAACACATTCTGCTGATTAATGGGCGCATGCAGCTCTTCCAGCCGTGCTGGCAAGGGCTCTTTAAGGCGTACTTTGTGGGGTCGTCAGAAAGTCAGTTTCCATCAGCAGTGGTCGGCGGGGCATGGGGGTGTGTGCCAGAGTCATGCCCAAACCATGCCTCTTCAGTCTGTAGGCAGGCGACGTCACCAGGGAGCAGGGAAAGGCCGCAGGCGCCCGGCCCTGTGCAGGGCAGCAAGCCCAGAATCTCAGGGGGTGCGAGCAGCTGGGGCTGAGAGCCCATAGTGTGCAAGCCCACCCCGTGGACGGAGGCTGACCCCAAGGCAGGCAGGCTGGCGGGTCCAGGCCGGCCCCCCAGAGAACACAGCTTGTCTCAGGACATACCATGTGCAGGTGCTGGTGATTGGGGCCCAGGCCACACCCAGAGTGGTTCCATCCCCACACTCTGCCCCTTGCCTTTACTCCTTTATCTGTCCCCATCTGGTCGCTCGGACACTCATGGAATCCCTGGGCACCTGCCTTGGCTGCTGCGGGCAGGGTCCTCATTACCTAGTTACTCAGAGCCCTGCCCCACACGACTCTGGTGGCTGAGAGCTCTGCGCTGGTGCAGGGCACCCTGGGGCATGCCCAGGCTTGCAGGGGGCAGACTGCCTCCCCACATTCCTGCCTGACTGCTCCCATCAGAAGCTAGTGCCTAGCCCGCTTCCTTCGGGAGTGCACTCTGTCCCTGTCGCGGGTGCTGGTGGGGACCGCTGACTTGAGGAGCAGCTGCGGTGAGAAGGCAGAAGCTGTCAGCTTTAGTAGCTCCAGCAGATCCTTATGAAAATGCACGTCCCGGAAGGTTTGGGCGCCGGCTGGAGGCTGCAGCGGGAGGGTGATCGGCGCGGCTATTGAAAACAAATAGCTCGATTTGCTGTCTGCCTCGCCACCCTCCCAGGGGCTGTTCAAAGGCTGCCCTGATGACACTGCTCGAGCCTTTGCACCCCTCGACCCCCGCCTGCTCTGAGCCCCCTTTTCATGGCAGCCCTGTGCTTGCTCAGGGGCCCCCCATGGAATAGCTGTGCGTGACGTTCCCCAACCACAAGCTGCTGGTGGTGGAAGCTGTTAGGGGTCTGGCATGTTCTGAAGTTGCATTTTAAGAGAAGCTGGATCTACTTGCTGGTCTTAACAACTTCTTCTCCCAAATTGTCAGGATGAAGGAGGCCACGGGTTGGGGCACTGCTGGATCTCAGCCACTCAGCCACAGTGGTGCCTGTCGCGGGTCCTGAATCTGAGAGGCTGTCACTCCCACTCCCCTCTCTGGGACCCTTGGGGCCTCGCCTCCTTCCTGCTGTTTCCTTCCCTGGTATCCCATGTCCCCCAAATCTATGTTCCCCCACCAGTGAACCCTGCAGAGTGAGTGTGGCTGTTCATAGCGGGGCATCCAGGTTGGGCTTCAGGCCACTGGGCAATGCCACCATGGAGCATGTCCCTGTGTCCCCTCCACAGTGCACAGGTGCTTTTTTAATTACTTAAGGAAAAGCAGTCGAAGAGCCACTCAATATAAAGCCCTTAAGCCACCACCAGTGGTGACTCTGGGGAGGCCACGGCCTGGCCAGGAATCTGAAACACGGGCACCATCTGTGCTCCCGCCACTCCACAGCCAAATCACACTGCCAACCTTTCTCTCCTGCATAGTCTTTCATTAGATGTATCGCCTTTGCTGGGAATCGCTTGGTCATAAATACTCCCTCCTGCTTGGCCATCAGTCACTGCCGTCCCCAAGCCTGAGCTCGGGGCTCCAGCCCAGGGCAGGGATACTGGGGCTGCAGGAAACTCCTGGGACCTTTCACAGCCTCTCCTGACCCCGGCCCGCAGCCCCAACCACCTCAGGATCATAAGAGCAGATTGCCGGAGTCTGGGAGGGCTTATCGGGGCACTTGGAGGCTTTTCCAGCATGGCTCCCTCATTTCCACTGAGAGGGTGATGGGGCTTGCCAGGTGGTCGTAAAGGCAGTGCAAGACATACATTTCAAATGGGAACGCAGTTTAAGTCACGGATTTGGAAACAGGTGTCTCCTGAGCCTGTGTTTGCCAGAGGCGCATTGGCATCAGGAGCCGCAGGGCTGCAGTGCGGTGCTGCGTCCCCGAGGGTGGCTGCCTTCGGCCTCTGTCACGGCCTTCAGGGCAGGCTTGTCCTCGGTAATCTGTCTCCCTGTAAGGAGGTGGGGACTGTGCCTGATGTGGAGGGAGGAGCCTATGGCGTCCCAACCACTCTGTGGGCCCCTCTGTCCTCTGCACGCCCTCCATGAGCTTCCACATGGCTTCAGCCACCCCTGTGGAAATTCCTGTTCCCGGAGGCAGCTGCCCACTTCCAGTGGCTGCTTTCTCCTCTGGAGTCTAGACCAGGACTTGGTGGACTACGGTTTGTGCCAGATCTAGCCCTCTGCCTGTTCGTGTAAGTAAAGTTTTATTGGTACACAAGCCATACCTATTTGTTTACATATCCTCTCACCTCTGAGCTTCATTGCAGAGGTGAGAGGTTGTGACCAAGACTGTGTGGGCCACAAAGCTGGAAATGTTTACAGCCTACAGCCTGGCCCTTTACAGGCAGTTTATCAGCCCAGCCCTAGACCTATGACCTGTCCATTTCTCCCACCCTCTCACAGTAGGATGCTTTTCCAGGCTGATCTTGGCCTCATCCTGTAGGTAAGCGAGACACCAGGATTGCCAGGGTTCTCCTGCTGATGGAGGGCTCCCTGTCCACAGCCTGGCATCCAGAATCCTTAGCTGGCCTCTCCTGCCCACAACTTCCCCAGGTGTCTAGTCCTGCAAGGTGCCCGGCTGGGGAGCTACCACGGTGCTGTGATGTCAGTGGGGGGGCCTCCAGGACATGTGATTTGGGGGGTTTCAGGGCACAAGACAGATGGGTCTGGATAGTGAGGGGGCCCAGAGGGCCCCCATTTCAGCCTGTCCTCATCATGCTTGCTCGCCCCTCACTTGCAGCTCCTGACACAAGGAACCCTCCTGTCCAGGTCAGCGTCCACTGCAGGCCGTGCCAGCACATGTTCCTCAGCAGCCCCCGTGTCGTCTGGGCTCTGGCAACACTGGGGGCCAGCTTCCGAGCCTGGGGCCTCGCTTGCTCTCCTAACCTGACAAATCAGAGCCTCAGCTGGGTGTCAGCCTCCTTGAAACCATGTTCGTTCTCTCATTTGCTCTCGTAGCTCTTTGGGGACTGACTGCCCTTTTCCTCTTCCTAATTGATCCGTTTGGAATTACTGCCATTATAGAACATTCCACATGCATTTTACTTACTTGAGGGCATGCGTGTCTGACAGGATTTGGGCTTGAACTGACACAAGGCAGCCAAAACTCAGACCTTGGCCTCTGGGCTCCTGGGCTGGGTGGCATGCCTTGCTCATTCCTGAGCCCTCAGCAGAGGGAGGGCCACGTGCCAGGTGGTTGCTGTCAGCGACCAGTGCAGTCCTGGGGTGCACCAGAGGCTCACGTTTGCGGGTATGGCTTGGATAGGAATGTTCAGCAACCTCACCTTTCAGCTCGGACAAGATGATACCCTTTTCTATCTGGGGCCAGAAGCTCTGGAAAGGGGTGCTTAGGGGAGGACAGGGCAGAAAGTACTGTGCCTCTGTGCAGGGCCATTCGCCAGGGCTCAGGCCTGTCCCATCCCCTGCAGTGCACATGCCGGAAGGACATGGTTAAGATCTCCATGGATGTCTTCGTGCGCATCCTCCAGCCAGAGAGGTACGAGATGTGGAAGCAGGGCAAAGACCTGCCGGCGCTCGACCACACCCGGCCCACAGCCCTGAGCAGCCCCGAGCTGAGCACCTGGAGCGCCTCCCGGGCCTCCCTCAAGGCCAAGCTCCTCCGCAGGTGAGTCCCCAGCAGCCGCCACCCCGGCCTCCCCGCTGGAAGGTGGCTGCAGGCTGTGCCTCCCCACGCACTCCAACCCCTGTGTCTCCCCCAGCTCCTGAGGCTGAGCATATTCCTCACCCGACTTCCTCCTGTGCTCGGTGGGCCCTGCGGCCTCCGTGACTGTGCTGTCAGAGACCCTGTTCCCTGCCACGCCTCGTCTTGGGCCGCACTGTTCCCTCTGGCTTGACACACGCCATCCCTCCCTCTCTCCTGCTTGTCCTGCCTGTCAGGGCTGCTTGGCATGTTCTTGGCTCTGAGTGGGGCAGGTCCTGTGCGGGGGTCCTGGGGCCCCTCACCTTTGGCGTCTGTGGTCACTCACGTGGCACTCCCAAATATGTGCTGCTCGGGTTCTCAGTCTTGTGGGTGATGGCAGAGACCCGACCCCCAGGGACGTCCTGTGCACCCCTGTTCCACCTGGGAGAACCCCCTCTCAACCTTGAGGACCCCCAACGCCCCTGCTCTCTGTGACCAAGTGGTCACATGCCTGGTGTGAGAGGGGCAGGGAGGAGAGAGCGATGCCTCTGTGCCCTCTTGGCACGCTGCCAAGGCCCTGGGGGCGAGTATGTCAGGTCTGGGCTGAGGAGGGCATGGACCTCGCACCTGCGCGGAGAAGGCAGGTCCTCTCCTGGCCCCAGTGTGAGCTGTGGCTGCAGGGACCTCCCTGTGAAGGGCTTCAAGGGCCACACAGTTTCCCACGACCCCTTGACCTGCACAGACAGCAGAGAGACCTTCAGTAAGCAAGTGGAAGGAGCGTGCTGTGGCCCAGTAAGGCTCACCTGTGGATGCGGACGCGGGCACTTCTGTCATCCCCACCTGCCACAGAGTATTAGAGTACTCTTCCAACTTTGTGAGCCATTTAGAAACATAAACGCCATTCTTAGCTGGTGGGCCACCCACGGCAGTGAATCGGCGGACTGCTTTCCCTTCTGGGTGGGTCTCATCCCTGCTGGTGATGGCGATGACGGCTGGTGCCTCCCCAGGGCCCGGCCACAGGCACTCAGGGATTCCCCTTGTGGCGCCGGGTTGGTGTCCTCCCACTCTGCAGAGACACCCCGAACTGTTTCTAGGAAGAACCCCCCAGGCTGAGCACTCACCCTGGGGCCCAGAGCCTTCCCCCTGCCTGGGCCCTTTGCCCCAGCTCCTCCAGGGGTTTTCCCCTCTCAGAATGCTCCTGGGATGCTTTCAGACCTGCTGCTGACCCGCACCTGCAGGCCCAGCTCTCCTGCTGTCCTTCCTCGTCCGTATCTGTCATGTATGCTCTCCGGTGTTCCTTCTGAAAAGCCACTTCCGGCGAGATTGTTCCCTAAGCAGGCACAGAGCAGGCTTGCCGAGCAACTGGCTCCCCAGGCGGCCCGCGTTTGCATAACGGTTCATTGACTGTGGCTTCAGCGGGTTGGTGGACTGAATGGATTGCCAGGAAACGGGCCACATTCCTGAACCAGAATGTGGTTAGGGGCTGTCTGAAGAGCCTGCACCCAGGGCAGGGACCCCAGCTGCCTGGCCTTAACCTTCTGCAAGAGGAAGCGGCCCCCCTGGTGCTCCCTGCCCCCGCCGCCCCTGCTCCTGGCGGCCCTTGCTGGCGGGCCCAGCTCCCCGGTCACGCACCTTCCTTTCTGGAGCATGCTGCCTCTCCCCCGCCTCTCTCCCCCTCCTGCGCTGACCTGGGAGCTGTAACATTCTAATGGTGAAACTGAATAACAAATCGTGTTCCTAGGGATATAATTTTCTTTAAAGCCTTTAGTATGTAAAATAAGGTTGATTTCCACCCCCCACCCAGTTTTTTTAAAGTCATGGTACAGGGGTCCTTTCTCTGAAAAGGCTGATGGGGACTCGAGGTGTGGAAGTCCAAGGCCAACTTGGATGCCACTGTCCCCTCTGCCTGCTGGCAGTGACTCAAGTCCCCTGTGACTCTGTCCTGGCCCTGGTGCTCCACGGGGCTCCTGCCCCCACCCAGCTGTGCCAGGTCTCCCCAGCCTGATGGCTCCCCTGAGCCTAGAGGGTTTGTCTGGGGGAAGAGGTGGGACCGCCTGAGTGGAATTGGCTTGGGTGAATCCATCCCTGTCCCCAAACTAGGGTCTCCCCTTTGGCACTGCTGACCTGAGGGCCAGGTCATTCCCTGAGGGGCCGTCTGGACACTGTGGCAGCTGAGCCGCATTCCTGACCCCCACCCAGTCCAGGCCAGGAGCCCCTAGCCAGTGTGACAGCCAGAAAGTTGTGCCTGAGCTCATGGCACTGGGGTCCTGCCTGCTGCCTCCCCACGCTCTGTGGCCTTGTCCCTTCTTGAGGCAGGAGCACGTATCTTGGGGCCGGGCAAGAAGGAGAAGGGCACAGGGCATGGCTCACAGACCCCCTGTGCCTGGGTGAAGGTGCTGCTGGCTTGGCAGCCCCAAATGCTCCCTGTGGGATCCAAAGTCCTGGGCGACAGCTGGTCCTGTGAGAGCTGGCAGCCCCGCTTTGAGGTGCCAGAGGGACTGTGTGCCCTGGGCCCCCCTGGTAGTTGTTCCAGGAGCCACTCAGAGCCTGCGGCATGGGCCAGGGCCCCAAAGGAAGTCCCCCATGGCCTCACCTGCCGTCTGAGGTCCAGGGGTGCCTGCTTCCATATGGAAAATGGTAGTGTGGTATCTGGATTCAGTCCCAGTGTTAGGTTCCTATAAACTTAACCACGTGGTATCTAGTTAGGCCTGGCGGGTAAAGGCATGTTTTTCTCCACCGTCTCGTGAAATGGGACTAAAATGACCACTAGCAAAATGACCAAATGACAGCAGGCGAGAGGACAGTGGCTGCCAAGCGGAGTCGGCAGACTTAGGAGGGGTGGGCAGTAGCACCTGACTGTAGCACAGAGAAGACTTGGTCCTGGGCCGGCAGGCAGGGCGCTGGCCCGCTCCTGCCGTGGGACCAGAGAGGCCTGAGGTTCAGACATGCGTGCTCCTGGGACAGGGACCACGAGGAACCGGAGGCAGGTGTGGGAGGTATTGCGGGGCTCAGGGTCCCTCCACCCACCTCCCAGCAGAAGACAGGGGCCCTGCTGCCTGCTGACGTTAAACTTGGGCAGGCGCCAGCCTCATATGCCCCCAGCCCTGAAGCAGGAGAACACAGGCATCCTCTCCCAGGTCGCAGAGTGGCCCAGAGGAGCGAAGCTGCAGATCCTGATGTTGGGGGTCCCCCGGGAGCATCAGGGCTCCTGCTGCCCCTGTCCCCTTCACAAGGCCCCACTCACAGGCACAGCCACCTGTGAGCACCCAGCCAGGGCCTCTCAACCTCTGAGGAGATGCATCATGAAAGTCAGTCTCAGGTGAAGAAGAGCGGGACCCACAGATGGAGAGGGCGCCGTGAGCATCAGAGGTGGGCTTTTCCGAGGCCCGGGGTGAGGGGCTGCACCAGGGAAAGTAGAACCTGTTGCCAGAAAGAAGAAGCCTTCAAGGAAGAGAGGCTCGGAGGGAGGCTCGGAGGCATTCGAGGCGGGAGCTGAGGGGCCGGGAGAGGTGGGTCGGTAAACAGCCCAAGGAAACCCCGGGCCCGGAGGCAGGAGCAGCTAGAAGGCCGGAGGCCTGGCTGAGGGACCGCAGGCTCTGCTGGGAGTTTCAGGCACTGAGAAAAGGACGTTATGGGGACCCAGACTTGCATTTCCAGATGGAAAATGCTGGCGTGGAATGCAGACTTCCTGGCATGAGCAAACAGGTCACCTTAAAGAGCAAGAGACCGTAATGGCACTGGACCTATCAATCATGATGGGCTGCAAGCTAACAAAGGAATAAGGCCTTCCAAAGTCAGGAGAGAAATAATTTTCAGCCCAGAAGTATGTACCTACCAAATTACCAACTAAATGTGTGAGGAAAATACAGATCTTTTTATGCAGCGTCTTAGGTTTCCCCTCCTTTCTGAGGAAGCTACTGGAGGATGTGCTCCAGCTAAACAAGGGCATCACCCAAGAAAGCCAGGGCTTCAGCTCCACCAAGCAGCTCCAAGCCAGGAGAGGCCACGGCAGCCTCAGGACAAGGGGAAGGCCCTTGGGTGTCATCGAGGAGCATGCGGTGCCCTGTGTGGGAGACAACATCAGGAGCTGGGGCGGAACCAAGAAAGCCTGGGCATCTACGAGGGGGCCAGTCCCCGACTCCAGGAAGAGGGAACAGAGGCTGCCACACAGGCAGCTCTGCGGCTCATGGACGCACAACATTCAAAGAGGCAAAAACAAGTGCATATGGAATCTTGCCACACTGAAAATGGTAGCAGACGTGGGGAAGGAACCTGGCGGGCTTGGAGGTGGCAGACCACACCTTATGTGGCCCTGCCGGCAGTTGGCAGAGGAAGCCAGAACCGAGAAAGGAGAAGACAGCAGGGGGGTGAGGGGAAGACAGTGCATACGAGGAGAAACAGTGAAAAGGGGGGACGGTGTCTCATCTGCAGAGGCCCAGGGGCTGCTGTTGGGCAGCCTGCTATGGTTGGGGTGTGCATGGCGGAAACCTCTGCCCCCAGCTCTGCAGCAGGTCGGCTGCAGTCTCCCAGGGTTGACTCCCCCAGCTTGTGTTTCATGGAGTGGATGTTTCTCTGCATGCTGACCTTCAACTTGCTTTTCCTGTGCTGCGCTGGGGTGTGGCCCTCTGCCTGTGTCTGTCCACCTAGTTCACCCCCATTCTGCAGGTGCCCAGTGGTGTGTTGGGGGCCAAAGAAGGCCTGGGCTCTCTTCAGCAGACAGGACTCTGGTGGGGCACCCATAGTCAACCCTGGGAGCGGGTGGGGTGGCATCAGTCCCTGGGTTGGGTGAAGGGAGGGTGAGATAGGGGCTGAGGAGGCAGGCAGCTGCAGGAAATCGAGGCCAGGTGAGTTGGCGGTAGGAGGGCTCCCTTCCGCTGGGTGCTGCCTGGGGCCAGCATGGGGGTGGGCCTGTGGGCGCCGGCCCTGCAGCATTCCCGGACCTGGAGGGAGGCCCCTCCTCGGGTGACAGCTGGTGACCAAAGCCAGCTGCACCCTAGTGCTGCAGCCTCAGGCTTTCCATGTGTTTCGAGTGGGGGCCACACACAACCTTTCCAAACTCCCCTTGTGGAGCCACTGGAGTCCCCAGGGAGGGAGCCTCCTGGCTCCCTGCCCCCGTCCCCTCATCCCTTGCTGATGCCCCCCACCCTGCTCCCCAGCCGCCTGTCTTCCCGCCCCACCCTTGCTGCTCCCTCGCAGTGCCCCCTGCACGCCATGCCTCTGCCCGCAGTGCTGCCATCCCTGGAATGTCCCCTTGCTTTCCACCTTTGGCCATTGGGGTGGTTCATGGCACAACATCGCACGGGGCTGGTCCCACACCAGGCTTCGCCTGAGCTCAGGGGAGACGGAGCAGCAGCAAGCCAGGGGCCCTCGAGCTAGAGGCCGAGCCACGGGAGGGGCTGGAGTGGGTAGTGTCAGGGGAAGGTTAGGACCAGGCCCCCAGGAGCCGGCAGGGCCAGGCTGGGGCAGGTGGCGAGGAGGCTGTCGGCGCTGTGTCCCCCGGGTGGGAGATGGGGGTCCTGGTGTTGGGAGCCCTGGGAGCCTCCCCAGGTCCCCACCAGAGAGTCCCGCTCTCCTGAGGGGCTGCTCGGCCCTGCGGGCTCCGCCCCTTACTGTGAGGAGGAAAGAACAGGAAAGACTGGGGGCTGGGCTATGAGGCCTCGGGCCTGTGGCCCCTTGGGGCGTCACCCCAGCCCCTGAGGGGCGTTAGCCACCCAGCCAAGGTGAGCTTCTTTGCTTCTCCACACACCCGCCTGGCCTCTGCTCCCAGCTCCTGGGCCATCAAACACCCTCCTGTCAGTCGGCAACCACTCTGTCCCCTCTCTGGGGAGGCCCAGGGACCCTGGTGTCTCAGCCAGGCAGGTGTCCCAGCTGTCGGTCTGCAGGACCGCCCGCCTTTGTCACTCTCCTTTCTACTGCCTCACCTCGGTTCTCCTGCATTTTTACTAAGAAGCGGTAGCTGAGCCTCAGGGATCCCCGCTCGGGGCACCGGCCACCCTGCTGTCCAGGACTGGTGCAGCCCGGGCCCAGGCCAGGCGAGGGTGTGCCTTCCCCCGGCCCTGAGCCGGCGAGGAGGAGGCGCCGGGCAGCTTAGGGCCGGGAGCTCCCCGACAGAGGGGCGCGGACCCGCCCCTTAGGTGAGGGTCCCGGGAGCGCACAGACACCCCAGAGGAAACCCCCCTGACCTTTACATTCTAGACAAATTAGTCTGAAGGAAAACAGACACTGGAAAAAGACTGAGGAGGAGAGGAAACCAAATCTAGAAAGGAAGAAAGAGCAGACCAAAAAGCCGGGGCTGGCGTAAGTGCACTTCTGTCTCCCTGTCGCCTGGGCAGGCGTCTCCCATGGCTGCGTTTCCATCCCCTCCACACTCCCTGTTCCCTGCCTGCCCGCGGCTCCCGGAGCCCGGCAGCCCTCGTGCCATCTCCAGCTGCCATTGGTACCCTGCTCACCACGGCCCGCTGCCCCCCGCCCCCCTCCTGGCTCCCGGGGGCTCTGTTCTGCAGGAGCCCCGGCCTGGGGCTCCTCCCACCCCTGTCCTGCCCCCTGGCTGATGACTCTCCCTCTCCAGGTCCCACCGGAAGCGGAGCCAGCCCAAGAAGCCCAAGCCCGAAGGCCCCAGGTTGCCCGGGGAGGGGGCAGCCAGGGCGGCCCTCCTGGAGGAGGCGGGTGGCAGCATGAAGGAGGAGGCTGTGCGGGAGGCTGAGCCCGAGGAGGAGGAGGAGGAGCCCCAGCTGCTGCTGGGCCAGGAGGCCGAGGCTGCAGAAGGTCAGTGAGGGCCACCAGCACGTGCCGCTGGGCATACCCACCACTTAGCAAAGGGTCACGGCTCTCTTTTCATTAATTCTAAATGGATCGCAGCCCAAGCCCTTCGACTGTAGTGGGGTGGCCACCCACTGGTCACCTCCTTGGGCCTCACCGGCCCATAGCACCTTGTGCCCAGCCTGCCGGGCCCGGGCTCCACGGGGCTCAGGCTGCCCCAAGCGGGCCTGTCTGAGGAGTGCACGTCACTGGCCCACAACCCTAGCAAGTCCCAGTTCTTCCCCAGTTTCCCCTTTCTGAGCAGGCTGCCACCTGCACAGAGGTCCCATGTCCTTTGAGAGTGAAACGTGCTGAAGACAAAGGCAGCCACACAGAAGGGCCTGCAGGCAGGTGCCGCCGCCCCGGGCGCAGCCACTCCCGACCTCTTCCACCGTCTCCTTGGGCCCTTGGGCAGGTTGGGTGGGGAGGGCCCCCATCAGCTTCCCAAGCCCGGGGCCCCAGGGTGGGGGCCGCCTCTTGGCTCCAGACTGGCACTGCTCCGCCATCCAGACACTCCACTCCTGTCCCATGCCAGAGCCTTGCTCCCAAAAAGGAGTTGGGGTGTGCGGGTCCTCCCAGAACATGGCCCCTCAAGAGAGGAAGTGGTCCTTTCAGGGTGTTACACATGGCTGCCACAGCCAAGGGGGCCCTGTGCTGAGATCTGGAGCCTTCTGTGAGCCGCCCACAGGTCCCTGGAAGGAGGATAACTCCAAGCGGGTAGCAAATAAGTGCTCGCGGTCAGGGCGAGAGCACACATGGCCGCGGATGAGGGGAAGGTTTTAAGTGCTTTCTAGACTTCCTGTAATACTAGCCTGGTGTTCCTAAAAGCTGTAAGAGCTGAAGATCATGTCAAGCGTTGGCAGCAGGGCGTCTGGTTTTGTGTTTGCAAAGGGAAAGTTGTACACTGCCGTTCACTGGCAGCAGCCAGCCGGGCTGAAGCGGAGGTGGCCGGGGCGTGGGCAGGCAGGAGCGGGTGTCCCAGGGGACGGACTCCTCGGGGTGTCAGGAAGCCGGGGCTGGCTCACGTGCCACTGGGCCCCAGGGGGCCTCCTCACAGCTGGCTGCCGGCGTCCCCACTCCATTACTGCAGGAAGACCTGCTGCCTTGGGCCTGGCCCTGGGATGGATCGGGAGCCTCTGTGCATCCACGCTGACCCCATGCAGCCCCAGCAGAAGGCAGGCCGGCAGCCTGCATCCGCCCTGGTCTGCTGGAGCAGCAGGGACCCCCTCCTCCCGCAGGGCACCGACTGTGGGCACCACTGGTGCACACCTCAGGCTTGGGGGCCCAGACCCTCCAGGTGCTCTGGTGAGCCTGGTAAACTTTGGTGCCATAGAGAAGGTGTGGGGACCCCCCTTCTAAGCAGCCAACACAGCCTACCATGGAGGGCTGGGCTATGCTTCCTCCCATCCTGAAATAGGCCAGAAGGGCCTCAGCCTGAGGGGGTGGGGGGACCTCGCCCAGACCCCCACCCTGGCTCTGTGACCATGCTCCCCTGTTTCAAGGCTTCCTCAGGCTGGGCAGTGAGGGGCAGCCCCTGCCCTGGGGCTGCTGTGGGTCCCACGAGGCCAGCAGAGCTCTGATCACCCAGGTGTCCTTCCTGGCCTTGAGCTTGCCCCCTAATGGGGTCCCCTGGGTGTTCTCCCCTTGGCGTCCCAGAGCCTGGGGGGCATGAGGAATGGGCTGCTTCCCAACAGCAGAGGCTGCGCATGAGAGCAAATGGGACCTGCTGCCTCCAGGCTGCTGAGCGACAGCGGGTTTTCCATTCTGTTCGCGGTTCGCGCTGTCCGGGAGGGAGGAGTATCAGATGTCCTTAGAGAGCAGAGCCATTTGCCTGCAAGTGCCTTTTATACAAACCGGACAGCGCCTTCCTGGGCCAGCCTCGGCGGGTTTCTATAGATCAGCAGCAGCAGCACCCACAGCCCCGGGCCCCTCACCTGCGGCCTGCGGGGCGAAGCTAGAGCTCCTGGGCCCTTGGGCACCTCCCGGGCGTGGGGGAGCCATCCCAGCCCGGCATCTGTATGGGGAGCGGGTTTGGTCTTCAAGCTGCTACCTGCTGCTTTCCTCGGCCAGGTGGCTTCATGAGGGGTGGGCCTGAGGCACCAGGGGGCAGTCCAGGCCCCTCCAGGTAGCAAAGCCCAGGGAGACCCCACATGCCCCCGAAAGCTGGGGACCAGAGGGGCGTGGGCCAGGCAGGACAAGGGCCCTGCACCTCACGGCCATAGAGCCTCTCTCGGAAAATGACGCGTGTGCTGGCCCAGGACACTGTGGGCGTCCCAACAGCCACGTGGTCTGCAAGTGTACAGGTGGGGAGGGGAGGGGATGGGACAGGTGGCAGAGGCTGCAGCGGCCTGGGCGTGCTGAGTCAGGGGTTGGGCCCCCGAGCACACTCGGGGCTGGGTCTGCCGACAGGGAGGGGCCTTGCATGACCCCTTCCCTGGGTGGGGTCAGGGAAGGTCAAAGGTGAAGCTAGAAACCCTGGCCCTTGGGAGCCTGGTCTCCCAGGGTCACCGGCACCTGTCCTGTCCTCTCTGGTTGAGGAACAGGGGTGACATTTGGGCAGGTTTTGATAGCAAGAGGTAGAACTGGCTGCGTGTCCTGGACCACAGCTGGCCATTCTCGTTGTCACCAGGTTTAGCATGGAGGGGGCCTGCCTCTGCCTGTGAGCTGTCCTCGTTTTCCCAGCCGGGTCGGGGAGACCGAGGCTGTAAAGCCCAGGGACCAGCTGCCACACAGTACTGTCAGCAGGACGACCATCTCATTCAGGCTGCCCTGGAACCGCACATTCCAGGCAAACGGATGGTGGCCGCCCGTTCTCAGCCGTTGTCACTCCTGACATGATGTCCTGAGCCTCTGGGAACTTGGGACCTGCCGACGAGAGCCTGAGCTAGGGTGCCCTCCTCCAGCTGGAGCAGGCACAGCCCGAGGGCCGCAGGGCTCCCCACGCACCGGGTTCTGTGGCCGGGCTGGTGGGCCCGTGCATGTCGCCCTGAGCTCCGCAGGCCTCATGAAGGTCCCCAGCTACAGAGCTCCCCATGTCTGCTGGGGTAGTGACCACAGACTTAGGCTGGAGACCCACATTTATTCTCTGGCAGTTTTTGAGGCTAAAAGCCTCACACGGGTGTTGCTGGCTGAAATCTATGTGTGGGCAGGGTTGGCTTCTTCTGGAGGCTCCAGCAGGGAGTCTGTTTCCTGCCTTTTGCAGCTTCTAGAAGTCCCTCATTCCTTTGCTTGTGGTCCCTTCTCCATCGTCCAGCAGTGCCTGTGACCCTTCCCAAGTCACGGTTCCCTCTGACTGCAGCTGGAGAGGCCACCGGGTCCACCCAGATCATCCCGTCTCAAAATCCTTAACTTATTCCATCCTACAAAGGCCCTGTGGTCATGTCAGGCTCTACATCCCCAGGTCCCTGAGCTAGGTCATGGACAACTATGGACCACGGTCCTGCCGGCCTCAGGGGCCCTCTCAGTTTGGTCTGGTGTACTGCATACCCATCCTGGCCCCTGTTATGACGCCACTGCAGACACTCCTCTCCCACCTCCTCCCTGCCCCGTGACCTGGCAGGAAACCCCCCAGCACCAGCCCTCGGGGCCAGAAGGGGGTCAGGCCCTCCAGGCCCCAGGTGGCTCCTGTGTTCTGTTCAAGGGACAACTCTTTGTGGTTTGTTGTTTGAGGTTTTGCTTTTTATAAATCCCAAAAGTTATTTGCCTTAACTGTGGAAATACGTAAACTCAGACCCCTGAAAAGAAAATGAACCCTCTCTCTGCTTCCCACCCCTTGGGAAGGGCTTCAGGAACTGCCCCCAGGCGGGAGCCCGGAACCACAGAGGTCCCTTCCCAGCAGCCTTCTGATGGCTGTCCTCGGCCTAGTGCTAATTCTAGAAGCCCATGTTCTTTTGGCAAAAGCCAGCCCCCACGTGGGCTGGGGGGGCCACTGGGCACAGCTCTGACCTGTCTCTTCTCTGCCCACAGAGGACGGGAGGGGCAAGCTGCGGCCGGCCAAGGCCAGGAGCGACCGGAGGAAGAAGAGCTACGGCCCCCTGCACCCCCACCACGCCCTGTTGCCCCCACCCACCCCATTCCCCATGGAGGAGGCACCACGGCCCCCCCCCTCGCTGGAGCCTTCCGTTCTGGCCTCAGGCCCTGCAGCCTCCACGGGGAGCCCCCTGCCCCCGCCCCTGAACGTCCTGCCTCCGGAGGCGCCGGGCGAGGAGCTGGAGGTGAAGCCGCGCCCCATCATCCCCATGCTATACGTGGTGCCGCGGCCCAGTGCAGCCGCGTGTGACAAGGGCCGCGTGTCCTGTCAGCAGGCCTTTGAGCACTTCACCCAGAAGGGCCCCGCCTGGAAGGAACAGGCAGCCACCATGGAGCTGGCAGGGCCTGAGGAGGACAGCAGAGCCAGCGAGGTCCAGGTAGGGCAGCGGGGGCACCAGCCAGGGCCCCACACGTCCAAGATGGCCCTGTGGCTCTCGCCAGAGGCCGGCAGGCCACTTGTGGTTCGGAACCCTCGGTGACGCCCAGCCATCCCCTTCCTGGGGCCCTGCACCCCCGGCTGTGGACACTGAGGCCGCAGCCCGTCAGCTCTGCCTCTGGTCAGCCAGGCTCTGCTGCAGGTCTCAGAGCCGTGCCCGCTGCAGACATTTCCTGCTCTGTCTTTTAGGCACCATCCACGTTTTCCAAATTGAAGATGGAGATCAAGAAGAGCCGGCGCCACCCCCTGGGCAAACCGCCCACTCGGTCCCCGCTGACGGTGGTGAAGCAGGAGGCCTCGAGCGACGAGGGTGAGCCAGGTTGCTTGCCGACTGCCCTGCCGGGCCCCAGGCCAGGCCCCTTGCCCCACGCTGTCCCCTAGACCCCCTCTGCCACCTGGCCTGCCTGGTCAGTACCATCACCACTGCTGAGGTCAGGGGCCCAGCATCTGACCCAGGCTGCTGCCCGTGGACCCAGCCTCACGCACACACCATCTGACCCAGCAGCACCCTTGCCCAGCCTCATGCTCCGCACTTGGGCCTCAGCTGCCCTGCAGATTGCCCCCTGGCTCTGGCTGCCATCCCCCTCCCATTGGCTCGTCCCCACTTGGGGGGCTTGCTTGTGCTGGGCTCAGGGTCTGACATGTCTGCCATGGTCTGTGAGGGGCAGGCTGCAGCTGTTTTTGGCTCCAACCCCAGCCTGCTGCCCAGAGCCCAGGATCATGGGCCATGACCCTTTCTGTGACTCAGTTTCCCCATCTCTAAAATGGGGGCTGCCTATCCCACAAGGGGTCCTGCCAGCAAGGTGCATGAAGCTGATGCCTGTAAAGCATGGGGCTCAGTGCTGAGCACGTGGTGCGGGCGGGGATGCTGGCACGGGGTTCTCGTTCCTGTGGCTGTTGGCTGCCTTTGACCCCAGAGCGTACCCTCTCTCACTCTGTGTGGTGACCATGCCTCCTTGGCTTGTGAAAGCTGTGCAGATGCCTTTCTGCCAGCTGCCCCTTCCTCGGCACTGCTGCCCCGGCCCCACGTAGGTGAGGATCGCCCTATCCTTGTGGCCTCTGTCCGGTGGCCGACGCAGGGCAGGCTTCTGGAGCACTTAGAGCCCAGGCTGGCGGGCGAGTGGCAGAGGGTGTGCTGGCATTCTTGGCGTCCAGCAGGAGCTGCAGGCGGGAGCACCAGCCACAACCCCCTAGCTGGGCTTTGCAGGGGTCAGAGCGCGCATAGCTGTGCGGGCTGAGAGCTCCCAGCATGGCGGTGCCTCTGCTCCCCATTTCCAAGTGCATTTCTGGGGCAAACATCCACTCTGTATTCTCCATGCCATCAGCAGGGGAGCAGCCGCATTTGTGTGGTGTGACTAGAGGAAGCCCTGGCGCTCTGCTGGCCCCTCGGGCGGCAGCTGTTAGGGGCTCTGACCCACAGCCAGGCTGTCCATGCAGGCAGTGGACGCGGGGCTGGGATCGGGCTGGCCCTGCAGAGGTGACTTCCTGCTGTGCAGCCCGGCCGAGGGCTGGAGCAGAGGCTGTTGGGGACCCAGGGCCGGAGGGCAGAGACAGAGAAGCTCCTCTTTAACAGCAGGAGGCTGCCGCTGCCTCACACGCAGAAACCTTGCTGAGCCACTTTTCCATCCTGCACTTCAACCTTCTGTTTAAGACGCACGTGAAATTTAAAAAAATCTGGGTGGCGTCTTTCTTCCTGAATCAGCTTGAGGGCTGGGGCGACAGGGGTTCTAGAAGCATCTGGATGGCAGGGCCAGGGGTCCCAGGGGTGGAAGGGAAGGATCAGCCGCAGCTGGGAGGGGCCCCACGGGCAGGTGGTCATGGCTGTTGTGTTACCAGAAAGTGCCTCCAGGGCCCTCCCCACCCCTAACCTGAGGAGCCTTCTTGGTGAGGCTGGGGCACTTTCTTGTAAGACCACCATGGCCCCAGAACCTAGTGTGTGTCCTGGGATTCTAGTGACCGAAGGTGGCAGTGGCTCCCCTCCCCTCAGGGCACCTGGGGCCTGCTTGGGGCTGCCCTCGGGCCCAGCTGGCAGGAGTGCCCCCTGCCTGTGTCCTCAGGCAGAGCAGTCTTGGCTCTGGGGGACTTGGCTAGTCCAGCCTGGCTCCCTGTCCCTAGAGGACCCTGTGTCTTGGGGAGACAGCAGCAGGATGTGGGGCATTGGGGCATAGCTGGCTGGGGGTGGACGTTGGCAGGGCCCAGATGGTGACAGGTGACGGGGCTGGGAGAGGGGTTGTTAGTGGCCTCCATCTTAGCAGCACTTTGGGGTGATGCAGCCCAGCTGCCGTCCCCAACTCGACTCCAGCTGCGTTCTCCCCTTGGCTCCACTGAGTTTAGGGAGCCTGTGCCTGGCCCACCGAGGTCGGGCCTGGACATCCCCCTGCCCTGGATGGGCCCAGGGCCCCCTGGCTGTGGTTGTTGGGACGCCTCTGCGGAACGGCTTAGGGGCCTTGGAAGAGGGGAGCTGTCACCACTAATGCTGGAGGCAGAAGGCCCATGGAAGGGTCCTCGGGGCATTTCACCTGTGCTGAGACTTCTCTCCTGCCCCGCTCTCCCATTTTCCTCTAGAAGCCTTCCCTTTCTCAGGGGAGGAGGACATGAGCGACCCCGAGGCCTTGAGGTCTTTGCTGTCCCTGCAGTGGAAGAACAAGGCGGCCAGCTTCCAGGCCGAGAGGAAGTTCAATGTGGCGGCCGCCCTAACTGAGCCCTACTGCGCCATCTGCACCCTCTTCTACCCGTACAGCCAGGTGAGCATGGGGCGCCACTGCAGGGCCTTGCAGGGGCCCGGGGCAGCGCTGCCTGCTCTCCTTGGTGCTGGTGTTTGCTCTGCCTAGAGGCAGCTGGGGAAGGGTGACTGGACAGAGAACCACTTGCTGTAGGAATCACGGGGGTCAGCTGCAGGTGTCCTGGTAAAAGACCCAGTGGCCCTGAAGGTGAGAAGCAGGTGGGGTATGTTTGGGGACAGGCTGAATGAGGAGCAGGCAAGGGGAGGGGTCCAGGAAGGTTCCAGTCGCTGCCTGGTTCACTGATGTCAGGTGTCCCCTGCCTGCCCACTCTGGGCTCTCCACTGAAGGTGGCCCCTCCTCTTACAGGCCCTACAGACTGAGAAGGAGGCTCCCCACGCCTCTCTTGGGGAGGGTGCCTCAGCTGTGCCTCCTTCCAAAAGCGGCCAGAAGACACGGCCGCTGATCCCTGAGATGTGCTTCACCTCCAGTGGCGAGAACACAGAACCGCTCCCTGCCAACTCCTACATCGGTGAGGATGGAACCAGCCAGCTGATCGCCTGTGCCAAGTGCTGCCTGCAGGTCCATGCCAGTGAGTGCTGGGCAGGTCTGGGGTGGGGGTGGGGCCTGATGGCGCTGCAGGGGTGGGGAGCAGGGCTGCGGGCCCCTGCTCTGCTCCCCCCCCGCGGCCACCCCCGGGTCTGCAGAGCCCACAAGCCCTGTCCCTCTGGGCTACTGCTTTGGGCTGTCACAGGACCTGGTGTCATGGCCGGGGGTTGTGGCGTTCAGGGACAGACATCCCTCCCCTCTGGGGCCTGGGAGCCAGTTGGAAGAGACAAGATGCCCTTCAGGGGCTGTGACAGTTTTACACTCCGCGCCTTGGGGCCGCACTGGAGCCGATGGTAAAGCTGAGAGTCTAGAGTGGCCCGGAGGTCTGATTTGTCTCTGCCATTGATGGCCGCCCTCTCTAGGTCCTGAGGGCCTGACTGCCATCCCAGATAGGACAATGGATGTCTGTCCCTTCCTCGGGGTGAGAGGCGAGGAATGGGAGGTGGGCCTCTAGGAAGAAAGCTGTTGGGGCTCATTGTAGGCCTTGCCCTGTGGAGGAAGGCAGCTGTATTTCTGTCCGGCTCCCCCGACCAACAGAGGCCTGCCTGGAGTGCATTGCTCTCCTGGCTGGGAGCCAGCTTGCTCGGCCCTGGTGGGCCTGGGTGTGAGACATGGCACTGGGGGGGATGGCAGTGCAGACCTGGGTGAGCCCACCCGCAGAGGGGCAGGGGGGCATGGTGGGCTCAGCTAGTCGTCTTGAGACCTGGCACTGGAGGCAGGTGGAGACCACCAGGAGGTCTGATTTGTCTCTGCCATTGATGGCCGCCCTCTCTAGGTCCTGAGGGCCTGACTGCCATCCCAGATAGGACAATGGATGTCTGTCCCTTCCTCGGGGTGAGAGGCGAGGAATGGGAGGTGGGCCTCTAGGAAGAAAGCTGTTGGGGCTCATTGTAGGCCTTGCCCTGTGGAGGAAGGCAGCTGTATTTCTGTCCGGCTCCCCCGACCAACAGAGGCCTGCCTGGAGTGCATTGCTCTCCTGGCTGGGAGCCAGCTTGCTCGGCCCTGGTGGGCCTGGGTGTGAGACATGGCACTGGGGGGGATGGCAGTGCAGACCTGGGTGAGCCCACCCGCAGAGGGGCAGGGGGGCATGGTGGGCTCAGCTAGTCGTCTTGAGACCTGGCACTGGAGGCAGGTGGAGACCACCAGGCCTGACCTTAGCTGAGCTCCCCCAGGGAACAGAGCAGGGGGACAGGGTTGGCTTCCTGGGCACATCACTGTCCCTCAGGGCCTCTGTGGGGACACAGTAGAAGGCCACCTTTCTCCCGTGCTTCCACAAGGTCACCCTTGGCACCAGCCACTGCCCACTCCAGCCAGTGGAGCTGCTGTGGTGGGCGACAGGCCCCGGCTTGATGAGGGCCCCAGCTGTACTGCCTGGGGTGGGCGGCTGGCCCCCTCCACCATGCCCTCTCTCATTTCTAAGCCAGGGCTGAGGTCCAAACCAGCCACCTTAATAACCCCGAGCCTCCAGCAGGGGTTTCAGGAGTAGTGACTCGGACTGGCCGGCCTGCTTGGCCACCCGGAACTCAGTGCCCACGAGGGCCCCTCGGCACTTCATATGACCTCCTCGTTGCTTTCCCGGGCTCTCAGCCTCCCTTGGCCTGCGGGCATGGGCAGGGCCTTCCGGGTGGGCATGGGTCAGTGAGGGCCGCACAAGCTGAGCAGACCCAGTGGGGGCCCTGCTCTCTCCAGCCTGGCACTTGAGTTCTAAATGACACTGTGTGCAGTGGCCTGGATAGAGAGAAAGCAGGCGGTGAGAGCAATTGCCCTAAATACCCCAGCCAGGCCGCCGCTCCACACGCAGCCAGGCAGCAGGTGCCACCCGCCTCAGCCACCCTCCTGTCTTCCAGGTTGCTACGGCGTCCGCCCCGAGCTGGTCAACGAGGGCTGGACGTGTTCCCGGTGCGCGGCCCACGCCTGGACTGCGGTAACTCGCCCCTGCAGCTGGGTGGTACTATGAAAGCTGACGAGGGCCCTGAGGGACCCCCAGGCTGACACTGGGCCATGGCCTTGCCTCCTGGGTCTCACTTTCTTCACTTTGGCAGTGAGGGGTGGAGCCTGTCACACTCCCGGCCTGGCCCTTCCATGGCCATGAGTTCACGATGTAAAGACTGCAGGTGGGGGCCAAGCAGCTCCCGGGGCAGCGCGGCGACCGCCCTGCCCACATGCCCTCACCGTGCAGTTGTCGTTTCCCACAGGAGTGCTGCCTGTGCAATCTCCGAGGAGGCGCCCTGCAGATGACCACGGACCGGAGGTGGGTGCCGGGGACACTCCTCCCTGGGGCCGGGGCCAGGAGGGGCAGACAGGCATCCGGACTGCCCCTAAGGTCTCGAAGCTCTGGCGGGCAGCAGGGTCGTGGGTAGGGGTGGGCAGGGCAGTGCCCACAGCTGGAGGAAGACTCATGGGGTTGGGGTACACCGTGAGCCCCGCCCCATCCCCGCTCTCTAGGTGGATCCACGTGATCTGCGCCATCGCAGTCCCTGAGGTGCGGTTCCTGAATGTGATGGAGCGCCACCCTGTGGACATCAGCGCCATCCCCGAGCAGCGGTGGAAGCTGGTAGGTGCCCTGGAGTCTTGCCCATGGATGGAGGGTAGCTGCCCCAAAGCCAGATGTGATCGATTTCAGTTTGGCCAAACCTGTTACTTTTTAAATAGGACCCACAGGCACACGGTAGGGAAGCCGAAAGGCATGGGGGCCAGAGAAGAGTCTGTTGCCCTCCCAAGAGCAGCAGGACCCCAGCTCCCCTGGCCTCCTTGCAGAGATGGCCTTCATGCTGTGGAGCTGCAGGCTCCGCACTCTCACACAGCGGCAGCCACACACACTACCCGGTTCTTTCCTGGTACCTAATGGGAGATCCACCCGCTCAACAAACCTTCCAGTGCATGGCGGCATTGCTGACTGGCCAGTGTCATGCAGCAGAGCTCTAGAACTTTCTTCCCTCTTGAGACTAAACTTTAGATATGTGGAACAGTATCTCTCTGTTCCCCTCCAACCCTGGCCCCTGGCAGCCCCGCTCTGCTTCTGTCCTTGGGCTGAGTAAGGTCCCTCCCCCGAGGGGAATCGTGCAGTTTTGCCCTCTGTGCCTGACTCCTTTCACGTAGCACAATGCCATCCAGGTCGATCTGTGTTGTCACAAATGCAGGACTTGCTTCTTTTTTGTGGCTGAGTAGTATTCCAGTGTATTTACATACCACATTTTCTTTATCCGTTCATCTGTTGGTGGACACTTAGGTTGTTTCCGTGTCTTGGTTACTGTAACTAATCCTGCAGTGAACGTGAGGGCACTGATAGCTCTTTGAGGCCCTGTTTTCATTTCCTTTGGGTATATGTGTAGAAGTGGGATTCCTGGATTGTAAGGCTGCCCTATTTTTAATTTTCTGAGGAAACTCCACACTGTTTTCCACAGTGGCTGCACTGGTGTCTGTTCCCACCGACAAACAAGGGTCCTCGTATCCCCACATCCTGTGAGCACTTAGCTCTGGTCTTTTTGATGCTAGTCGACCAGACAGATGTGGGATGGTGTCTCGCTGTGGTTTGGATTTACGTTTCCCTGGCGACACTGATGTTGAACCTCGTTTCATGTGCCTGTCATCCATTTGAATGTCGTCTCTGGGAAAACGTCTATTCAGGTCCTCTGCCCGTCTGTGAACTGGATATTTTTTTTTGCTGCTGAGCTGTAGGAGTTCTGGAACTGGCTCCTTGGATGAATACTGAGCTTCCCCTTGGAAGCAGCCATTTGCAGCCAGAGAGTGCCTCTCAAGGCTCACAGCTCCTACTCTTGCTGATAAGAGTCCAGCCTCGGGGACAGCTCAGGGGCAGTAGACAGAGGGAGCAGCAGGGGTCAGACTGTGACCGGGGAGCAAGCCGTGGCTTCCATTCCCAGTTTGGCCACCAGCCAGCTGTGTGACTTTGGATAGATCCCTCAACCTCTCTGTGCCTCAGCTTTCCCATCTATAAAATGGGCTGCCGACAGTCCCCTGTGCGGTCAGCACTCACTGGGCCTTACCATATTACTCTGACTCTGCAGTCTGAACACCCACATCCAGTCTCAGGCTCATCATAGCTGTGAGCATGTGGGCAGCCTTGCTGGGGCAGGGACATGCCTCCTGGACCTGGGGGCCGGGCCCCTGGCAGCACCAGGCTGCTTTTCCTGCCTGGGGTATTCCCCAGCTGCCTAGGGCCGCCCTGGGGTGCCGATGCGTCTCCAGGCTGCCAGCAGTGGGCCCATGCAGTGTCCTGTGGGAACAGTGATCTCAAAGCCCACAGGTGTGGGGCCACTGGGCAGGGCTGAGTGAGTAGCCAGTGGGAGCCCATGGCAGGGACTGGGGGCCTTGGTCAGGGAGCATGGAATGGTAGCGCCAGCCCAGCCACGTGCAGACAGGAGACTGGGAAGAGGCCAGCGGCCGGCAGGTGATTCCTTCAGTAACGGGGATGTGAAAGGCCTCATGATTCAGGTGGAGTGATGGTGTGCTTTATGGTGCCCGTGATAGATCCTCCCTCCCAGACACTTTATGGATCATCTGACATTTCCAGCTTGCAGCCTCTTCATTACCAGCACTTGTAACGATGAATTAAAAATCCTTCTACACGACGCTTGCTTGTACTGCCTAATGGACCTGTGCGGGGAAGCCAACAGTTAACTCCTGCTTGCCGGCGGCGCGCCCATGTTCCCAGAGCCACACACAGGCCCAGGCTCAGGGATGGCCACTTCTGGTCAGCTGTCTATCCTTTCCCTCTGTCCCATGACTTCCTGGCCTCCAGCTCTGGATGCTAGGGAGTATCCTGGCCAGTGGGAACTGCCCCGCCCCCCGGCGGCCTGAACCCAGGTTATTACCCGGGCTAGCCAGTTTAGCACCCCTCACTCAGCCCCTCACCAGGCTGGGGTGGTTCCTGGAGGAACTTCCAAGTCTGGTGGGGACTTGGGATGGGAGAGGTCAGCTAATGGGGGTCAGTGGAGGCACGGCTGGTGGGGAACAGGTAGTTTGACCCAGCTGTGATCCCTCTCACTGGCCCTGCTTTGAGGTGTAGGGGCTCATGTTGGGTCCTGACAGGAGGGAAGGCAGGCATCTGCCAAAGTACATTGGCTGGTGGGCATGAAGACCGGCTAAGGGCGCAGGACTTGGTGCTGTGGGGTGTCCGCAGGCGGGAATGGCCTCCACGGCTGACATCACACCCAGCAGTGGCCCTTGGCCACCTCTAGACCACTGTTCTGGGCAACCCCCCACACCCCCCCTGCATCCCCTCTTCAGCCCTGCGGCACCCAGTGCAGGAGACCCAGACACCACACGGCCTCTCTGGCAGCCCACGGAGAGGCTCCCGACGACGGTGCAGACGGGGTCTGACTCGGAGGCTCAGTAATGAGCCCCTGCCAGGGGCTGGGAGGCATTGTCGGGCCTCAGCAGTAGGGCCAGGGCTCGCCGCTCTGTGCCTGGACACATGCCATGGCATTCCACAGCCGGGGCTTCGGGTTGCGCCCTCTCCCACTGGCCAGGTGGTCTGCTGCTGGTGCCCTCCCTGCTGCCTGCGGGCCTCTGCCGAGGGAGCAACGCCTGCGGTAAACGGAGTGAACGCGGGCCCAGTACTTAACGGTTAACTCCTGTGGCGCATGTGGATGCCAGCGCCTGGCCCGCAGGCTGGCGGGAGAATTGGGTATTGACAGTTTAATAATGAGATCTCATTGCTATCGATCGGCGTTGGGAGCGCTCCTGCAGCGCCCTTTGCTGCGGTGCTTATCTGGCTTTTGAACATGGTTTACAGAGCGATAAAAGCCCGCTGATTAAATACTCAAGAGTGACAGAGCGGGTGGGGCCGGTTAGCTGCTGAGCAAAACCTGGGCGGGGCCTGGCGGCTGACGCGTTAGTGGTGGGCGTGGCCACCAAAGCCGCCGAAGCTCTCCGGGGAGCATTTCCGCAGTGTGGACGGACCCGCAGGGGGGTGGAAGGCCTCACTCACGCTCCTCATGAAGGAGGCCACTTGCACAGCTTTTTATGCAAAATTAAGATACAGTTCCCCATTTTAAAGTGCATGATTCAGTGACTTTTAGTACAGTCACAGAGTTGGTAATCATCACTTATGTCCAGTTCCACAACTTTCCTTCACCCCAGAAATAAACCCTGTTCCCATGAGCGGTCACCCCCAGCCCCCGACAACCACCAACCCACCTTCTTGCTGTGGATTTGCCTGTTGTGGGCATTTCACAGCAATGGGACCACCCACCGTGTAGCCTTGGGAGTCTGGCCCCTCCCTGAGGCCCCGTGGTGGGGCCCCTCCGCCCTGTGGCACGAGTCAGTGAGTCCCGCGTTTCTTTGGTTGACTGGTATTCATTCCCCGGGGGCGGGGGGGGGGCTCCTCCAGTGCCTGTCCCAGGCAGTGATGCAGAGGGGTTGGGCAGAGAGGAACCCCCAAGTGCCCCTGGGGGAGCCACACAGGCTGGGTTGGTGGGCCTGGGGCCCCCAGCCTGGGGTGGTCTGGGGGGCTCTGCACTTGGTCACAACCCCTGGCCAAGCAGAGTTCTGTGTGCTTTTCCCAGGGTGCCCTTGTGAATGCTGGGCTGCAGGCACCTCCATGTCCAGTCCTGGGTCTTGGGGTCACTCCCAGGCAACAGCGGGGGCTCTGCTGGGGGCAGAGGTGCAGCTAGAGCTCCATTTCCTCTGCCTGTGTCCCCCCAGAAGTGCGTTTACTGCCGGAAGCGGATGAAGAAGGTGTCTGGCGCTTGCATACAGTGCTCCTGCGAGCATTGCTCCACCTCCTTCCACGTGACCTGCGCCCACGCCGCGGGGGTCCTCATGGAGCCAGACGACTGGCCCTACGTTGTCTCCATCACCTGCTTCAAGCACAAGTCGGGGGGCCACAGTGTGAGTGCCGGCCCACCCCTGTCCTGCGCTGCGGCCCGCCGTGCTCGCTCTGATGCAGCCCTCGCCTCCGCCCCCAGGTCCAGTTCCTGAGAACCGTGGCCTTGGGCCAGGTGGTCATCACCAAGAACCGCAACGGGCTTTACTACCGGTGCCGCGTTATCGGCACCACCACGCAGACCTTCTATGAAGTGAACTTTGACGACGGGTCCTACAGCGACAACCTGTACCCAGACAGCATCACCGTGAGCCTCGCGGGCAGGCAGGGGCAGGCGCGGGGAGTTGTCTTCAGGGCCTTGGGAGGGGGCCCGATCCCTCAAGGGGGTCACCTGCGACCCTGCTACCCAGGCCCAGGCCACAGGCCCCTGCAGAGAAGGCACCGCCTGTTCCACAAAACCTAAGCAGGAAGCACTGTCGCTTCCTCACAGGCCCACGGTGGTCCCCCTGGGCTGGGCAGCCACAGCCGCCCAGCACACAGTCCCCTGTGTTCGCCCAGCTTGCCTTGAGGTCAAGCAGAGACCACCCCCGGCCTCCTTGCTGCAGAAATCTATCCCGGGGGACGCCATGGGCAAGTGTGGCACGGGGACGCTGAGGGCGCCAGGAACCGGCCGCCCTCACCTCCTGCCGCCCTCTTCCCTCCAGAGTCGGGACTGTGCCCGGCTGGGACCCCCGCCCGAGGGGGAGTTTGTTGAGCTCCGGTGGACTGATGGCAACATCTACAAGGCCAGGTTCATTTCCGCTGTGACCAGTCACATCTATCAGGTGAGCGGAGGCCTGGGGCGTTGGCCCAGTGGGGACTGATGGGTGCTGCCGCCCGCCTGCGAGGGTTGAGGCGCCTTTATTTGTCAGCTGAGAGGGGCCCCCAGGGGTCTGATATTTCTTCCTTTAGAAATGTCTCCCCGGTTTTTGGAGGTTTTGTTCTCTTCTGTGGTAGAACACAACAAAAAATGTACTGTTTTAACCACTTTTAAGTACGGTTCAGTGCCTGAGATTTTTTTTTTTTAAATCAAAACAGTTGTGAGTTTCTTCCCATGACTGCAGAAGAGAAATCATTTAATAGTGTGGAATCTTAGAGAAAAAGTCACCCACATTCCAGCAGCCAGAGATGACCATGGGCCGCCCCCCACCCCCCGTGTCCCCGTGCCTACCCCTTCTCCAGCGGACTTGAGGGCCTTAGTGGGCGGGGCGGGGGCGGCCCTGCCTCTGACAACCACACCCTCGGCAGGTGGAGTTTGAGGACGGGGCGCAGCTGACGGTGAAGCGCAGCGACATCTTCACCCTGGATGAGGAGCTCCCCAAGAGGGTCCGGTCGCGGCTGGTAGGTGGCCCAGCAAGTTGGGGCACTGTCCCGGAAGCCTGCAGTGCGCCTCCGGGAAGCAGGGAGTCCCGGATGGCCTTGGCCTTCGCTCCCGCCGGGGGCACAGCCGAGGGTGGAGCCTGTTGCGTGGTTAGAGGGGCAGGGTGAGGGCCCGGCCCTGCCCGCTCGGGGCAGCCTAGCGAGGAGCAGGGCGCACGTCCGAGGAAGCCAGGGCGCAGAGCCGGGGCGGCAGCCGCCCGCACACAGGATCCGAGCTGGAAGGCTGGCGCGCGCAAGGAACCGCGCTCCACACTCATCCCTTTTAGGGGGAACAGCGAGTCCCGGAGGCAAGGGCTGGTGACTGGCCTTTCTTTTTCTTCTGTGTTTAATTCAAAGACAGGGCTTTGAGGAGCCGGCGGCTGTGGCCATTGGTGAGTGAGCTGAAAGTAAGCGCTGGTGGGGGTCGCACAGCTGACCCCAGACACCAGGTTCCCTGGGGAGCAGACAGGAGTTGCCAGGCAGCTGCGCGGCCTTGTGTGCAGCCCGACGCTGCGCCAGCACGCACATAGCCCCTCCTCACAGCCGCAGCGGGCAGGCCAGGCCAGGCTCAGGCCGCCTCCCCTCCCCGGGGCCTGGGCAGGGTGGTGTTGGACCCACTCCCCTGCCCTGCCTGCTGGGAGGCTCGGTGTGGGACCGGGGGCTCCCCGGGAGGCAGGGGCCCCAAGGCTGTACCCAGTGCTTGGGTGTTGCTCTGGGAGGTTCCTGGGCCACCAGCAGGGCAGACATTTGCTCCATCGGGCACCTGAGCAGAATCCCACCTCAGTCTGTGTGGGCTGGTGTCATAATACCACAGAGTGGGCGGCTGGAACCACATTCTTTATTTCTCATGGTTCTGGAGGCTGGAAGTCCCAGATCAAGGCGCCAGCAGGTTTGGTGTCTGGCGAGAGCCCACCTGTGGTTTGCAGGCAGCCCCACTCTGGGAGCCCACGAGGCAGGGAGAGGAGAGCTCTCTGTGGTTGCCACCACAAGGGCACTGACCCTGCTCACCAGGGCACCACCCTCACCACCTCACTGGCTCCCAGAGGCCCACCTCCTAACACCTTTCTTCTCACTGTGGGGCAGGGGCCGGTGTAGGAACCTGGGGGCACACCCTTCCATCTGCAGCCCCACTGTGTGCTGACCCCTGCTGTCTGCTTTCCCGCAGTCAGTCAGCACGGGGGCCCCACAGGAAAACGTCTTCTCAGGAGAGGAGGTGAAGGCCGCCAAGCGCCCCCGGGTGGGCACCCCGCGTGCTGCCGAGGACTCAGGGCGGAATCCAGACTACCTGGCCTTCATGGAGAGCCTCCTGCAGGCCCAGGGCCGGCCCAGAGCGCCCTTCTAGGACAGCCGGCCGCCTGGCGGCCCCTCGGCTCAGCAAGGCAGGCAGCGGCGGGCCCGGGCATTTGCCTGCTGTGAGTTCCTGTTCCTGCCTCCGCGGCCCCAGAGGCTACCTCCACGCCACGGCTCCCCGCTCTGCAGGGACGGGAGCAAGCAGGACGCCGGCCACGGCCCCGGACTCAGGGAGCAGGGCCACGCGGGCTCTGGGGGCCCGCGCCACCCCCACTACTCAGATCCGTAAACCACGTAAGCTCTTCTTTTCGAAAAGGTGCTACTGCGATGCCTGCCCCCCGAGCAGCCTTTGAGATTGTGACTTCTGTACATAGTACCTTTGTGAGGTTCTTTCTATAAATACCTATTGTTTAAAAAAAAAACGCAAGAAAAAAAGGAAAACAAAAAAGGAAAAAATCCCCAAAGTTGTTTTCTAGATTTGTGGCTTTAAAAACAAAACAAAACGTTCTTTTTCTCATAACCAAGACACACAGAGGGAGATAAAAACAGCTCGCTCTTCGGTGTGTGGTTTTAAGTCCCCCTCGTCTGTGAGCAGGTGGGTGAGTGGGCTGCCGTCATGCGAGGCCTGCAGGTGCCGGGGAGGCAGGGGCAGGGCGCCCAGTGACGGCCTCGCTGGTCACTCCACTCCCTGAGCGTCTGAGAGGCTGGCCCCGCCTCTGCAGCCACCGCCAGTGCCCATCACCCTGTGCCTGGCAGGAGGAGGCCGGCAGCCCCGGGGGGGGGGGGGCAGCTGCTGGCCCCAGGTGCCCTGGGCCCCCTCCGGCCTTCGCAGAATATACACTCCCCGCTGGTTCGCTCTATCCGTGCTGCTTCCCCTTGTGAGAACCGCCCCTTGGCTGATGACCCCAGGCAGCTGGTGTGTCCCCAGTGCCGCCAGGTCCCCGAGGCCTGCTCAGGGGGAGGGACAGCCCTCCCGGCACAGACGTGGCTCAGCTGTCTAGTCACTGACGAGAGCGTGTGTGGCTTCCTGCAGCTGGAGCAGGTGGGGAGGGAGGTCGCAGAGCCCAGAGAGGACTTCCGGATGGCCCACGTCAGCCGTGGGCTGCTGGGCGAGGTCCTTGAACCCCGGCTTTGCCCGCCGCTCCGCGCCCAGGGGCCGGCAGAGCTCTGTGTCCTGTTTGTGCTGCGTGGATCTGTGTGTCTGGGAGAGAGAGCAAGAGGGGTTACAGCTCTGGACTTGGAGGAAATCTGCCTCTTAAGAGTTGTGGGTCAAATTTATGACAGAAAAAACTGCTTTTCGGCGAGCTTGGAAAGGAGCCGAGCCCAGCTCAGCCCCATGCCCTCTGCAGAGCCTTCTCCATCTCTGCTGTCCCCTGCTGTCCCCCACAGACGGGTTGAAAGCAGAATTTGCTTGTATAAAAAAATTTTTAAATTAAAACTGGCGTGTTCTTACAGTTGCCAGGCCAGAGAAAACTGAAGACCATGGAGAGAACCCAGAGGAGCCCAGAACCTTCCATCCCTTTGGTGGGGGACGGAGGGTGGGGCGGGGAGGTGCCGAGGGGAGTCGGCAGACTGGGGCCTCCCTCTGCATGCAGAGCCTGCCTGGGAGCTAGCACTGTGTTCACACATAGTCTGGAAATGCTGTTTATACTGTAAAGGGAATGGGAGGTGCGGCGCACGGTGCCTCTCGGGCCCACGGTGGGTCTTGGCTTGTGCCCGAGGTGGGTCAGGATGCCGGGGGTGCGCAGGCCGCGGCACAGCCATGAGGAAGTACAGTTCCCCACAGGGGGCTGTCTGTCTATGTGCAAGACAAAAAGCAAAAGCCCCCACTTGCCCGAGATTCAGGATGCACTGTACTTTCGCCTGCTCCCCCTGCCTCTAGGTTCATCATGGATTAAAGGCTCGTGAACACTGCGAATTACGGCCCCCTGGTGTTGTGGAGTGTCTTCATTTCTGAGCGGGTGCTGGGGGACAGGGCAGGGCTCCTCTTCCAGAAGGGCAGGCACAGGGCCTCCGGAGCAGGGCTGGGTGGGCACACGGCCTGCTCCCAGCCTCCAGGCTGGAAGGGGCTCCCTTCCCTGGGCCCAAGGTCGCAGCTGTGCCCCCACAGAGCCCTCCCTGGCAGCGGTCGGGCTCCCTCACGCGCAGGCCGGGGGCAGGAGTGGCCCAGGCAGTGGCCCCCTCTGCAGGACAGCTGGCTGCCCCCTTGCTTGTCTGGGGCCAGGGGCTGCCCTCCTGGCCTGGACCCAGTTCCAGGGACGTGGGAGCCGGGGAGCATGCCTGACCATGGGGTCTCGTGGCCCTGGGGTGAGACCAGGCCCCCAGCCTTCATGAACATGTCGTTCATCCAGCAAGTCCCGGAGCAACGGCACCAATGCACGGGTCTGGCCCTGGCCCTCTGCAGCTGACAGGAGGCGGCAAGGCAAGCAGTAAGTAAAGGGCCATATGTCAGGTGAGACAGGAGTTGCTTGACAGGGAAAAGCTAAGGTGAGCTGGCCTTGGCTGTTGTGTTTAACCCAGGGAGACTTGAAGGAGCTGAGAGAAGGAGCTCCAGGGAAATCTGGGGAACAACATTCTAAGCAGAGGGAACAGCCCATGCAAAGGCCCTGAGGCAAGTACCCTGTCTGGTGTGTTGGAGGAACAGTGAAGAGGCCTGTGTGTCTAGAGCAGAGTGAGAAAGGGGGAGAGGGAGAAGAGGTGGGCATGGAGGGGACACAGTAGGTCGTGACCTCATGGGCCACGGGGAGAACTTGGGCTTTGACCTTGAGGGAGGTAGGAGCCTGGGCACAGGAGAGAACCTGACCCGGGTGCTCACGGCGCCCTCTGGTGGCTGCTTAGGGGAGGACAGACGGGGTGAGGGCTGGAGGCTGGGGTAGGGGAGAGAGCAGCTCAGATTTGAGTGCAAGACCGCCAGGTGAGGAGGATACAGCAGAAGCCACAGGCCCAGGGTCAGTGGAGGGACTGTAGGGGATGTCAGCACACAGGTGATGTGTTTAGGGGACCCAGGCCTGGGCAGCAGAGCGGGGCAGTGAGGAGGAGTCACCAGTGAGGGGAGGGAACCAGCAGGGTGGCTGTGTCTCCCAGACAGGGCGTGTCTGTCTCTGGGCCTCAGTTTTTCCTCCCAAGAATGGGCATCCACGCAGGGTAGTTATGTCCTGAGCAGAGATTTCCTCTGACGAAATCTCAGCTGCTGCCAACCTCACCCTGCTTCTCAGATCCTCCTTTGGAGCCTGATGCTGCGTCCAGCGTCCTCTCAACAGCACAGGCGTCAGGTTCCCACTGCTGCAGAGGGCCCTGTGGGGCACTGACCAGACAGGTCCATGTACTCTGAGCCTCCCCTGGCGGTCACGGTCTGTCGTCAACCCCTAGGAGAGAGCTGCTGCCCCAGGTGCTCTAGGCTCCGCTGCAGAGGGCCCGCCGTCTCCGTGTTTCTCTGAAAGACCATGAAACGGAGGCCGTTTGGGACAGGCCAGCAGGGTCTACAGTCAGGGCTGATTCGCCGGCTGGATCCCCAAATGTGCAGCCATGCAGCAGTGGGCTCTGGTGCCCAGGGCACTGGGCCCTGAGCTCAGCGCTGGAGTTTGGTTTGTTTATCAGACAGCAGGTATTTTCTGTGCAACTGCCCTGTGCCAGGCCCAGAGGAGATGGCAGAAGGAAAGGGATGCAGTTGCCACATCTCCGAAGTCTAGAGTTCAGGAGAGCAGGCAGATGGTGGGAACAGAAAGGACCACAGATACACACGCCCCAAAGGGCCAGAACGCATACAGGGGTGGCAGGTAAGCCAGTGGTCCCTTCTAGGAGATGATATTTAAAAGGATCCAACCCCTCAAGGAATGGCTTATCAGAAAGCCCAGGGCCCCTCATGTCCTCTGTGGACAGGGCCCGGCAACCTACACACTTGGCCCAAATCCGGCCCCCTGCTTGTGTTTATAAATGAAGTTTTATGGGCACACAGCCACGCCCATTCCTTTAGTATCGCCTGTGGTAGCTTTTGCCCTATGATGGCAGAGCTGAGCAGCGGCAGCAGAGACCACCTGGCCTGCAAAGCCAGACCTGTTTGGTATCTAGCTCTTTACCAACAAAAAAGTGTGTACATCCCAGACCTAGAGTGTGAGCGGGAGGTGGCAGCCTTCACACCCCCTCCAGGCCTGTGACAAAATCGTCTCCCCAGGGGACAGCCCCCAGTGCCCAGACCTGCCCTGTCCCTCAAAGCTCCCAATGACCCCAACTGTGGCCTGGTGCCCCTCAAGGAGCAGCAGAAAGAGACTGCCGGAGGCCCCTCCATCGCCCCATCCGCCCTCCACCCGGTGAGTCCCGGCCGCGGCCCCTCAGAGCTCTCAGGACGGCGCTGAAATCTGCACGGCCTTCGCCACCAGCCATTCCCCCTTTTCTCCTCACACCCCCAGGCCGCCCCCTCCATCCCCACAAGGCATCGCAGGGACGCAAATAACCAGAGTAACCAGGGACCCCAAGGCCCCAGAAGCCAGGCACAGAAAGCAGAGTGGCTCAGGACACGCCTTGGAGCGGCGGCCCGCTCGCCAGAGAGCATTATTCTTGGGTTCGGTTTACTTAGCACTTGCGCTGTGTTCACGGAGAAGATAAGAGTTATTTGCTGCTTCGGGCAGCTGAGGGGTGATGCACGGCCAGCTGCAGCGAGGCCGGGAAGAGTGAGTATCTGGGTGCCTGGCATTTCCTCAGCACAGCATCCATCCCAGCCACTCACCAAGTGACGGGGACAAATGGCCCCAGCCAGCCGCTTCCAGGAAGGGGGAGGAAGGCGGGAGGGCCTCCCACCCACTGGCCCTGACATCTGCTTTACTGTAGAGACACAACCCAAGATCTGGGTGCAAAACGGTGTTTCTAAATAGCTGCAGTGGTCCTGGCCCTTCCGAGTGGTCCCTGCTGGTCCCCCAAACACTTCCTGCTCTGTTGTCCCTGGGACCACTGTGACCAAGGACTGTAGATCAGGTGGCTTAAAATAGCGCCCATCCGTCCTCTCACAGTCCTGGGGCCCCAGGGGAGGGGCCTCCTCCCCCTCCAGCTTCTGGTGCCCCGGACACCCCCGGGCTTACGGCCCCATAACCGCAGCCCCTGCCTCTGTGGTCGTGTGGCCTCCCCCGGGCATCCGTCTTCCCCGCTCTCTGTTGCTAATGGCCCCCAGCCTTTCTCTTTCAGTGGCCCCAGTCACTGGATTCAGGGCCCACCCGGGTCACCCAGGATGTTCTCTTCTTCTCCGGACCCTTACTTACATCTACAAAGATACTTTGCCAAATGAGGGCACAGTGAGGGGCTGTCAGCCGTAGGGTGTGGGCATGTATGGGTGGGATGGGGGCCAAGTCCAGCCAAGCAGCCTCCTTCCCCCACACGGGCCCAGAGACCCTGCTGCGCCTGCCTGGCCCCACGGCTGTCCCCCTGCTCGATCGTGAGCCCTGTGAGCATGAATAGGCTTGGTCCCCTCAGCACCCTCCAGGCTCAGTCCCGGGCCTGGCAGGTGGCTCTGTGGCTCCCAGTGTTAGTGCCTAGGCGGCAGAAAGCCCGAGGAGGTTGGTCACCCACAGGGGCTCATGAGAAAGGATGTTGAAGAATAAGGAAGGGTGGGAAGGGAGTATCAGGTGAAGAGGGGGGATCCTCCCCGCGCACACCCTTTGGAACGGCTCCGACTCTTACAGCCATTGTCCTGTCCCACATGTCTCAGATAATAACTAATCAGAATCAACCAGGATGTGGTGGGAACCCCAACATGGAAAATAGCAATACGAACCCCACAGTGCTACAGATGAAGGGGGTGCTGATCTAAGTAACTTTGGAAAATAGTGTTCTGACTGGACACTGTTAGGCTAAAATGAAAGCTCTATGCCAACTCTCTACTCTAATTAGAAAATCTGGTTCTTACAGGTAAGCCATTCTGTAGCTATTTTATGTGAATACAGGAGTGAAAAAAGTGAGTAAATTAATTTCAGATGATGAGAGCCAGGTTTCTCTCTGGCTGAGAAAGAAAGGACAAAATAGTCAAGGAAGGGGAGGGGAGCTGGAATGACTTTTGTCCTGGGTTGCAATAAGAGGAGTCAGTATTGGTCCATAGTTTTTAATACAGAGAGAAATTACAAGCGTGGATAGAGCTACATGGGTAGTACAGGTGCCCACAGAAGTGAATGTAGATGCATGCAGATGTGGCTGTGCTACTGTGACGCTCCAGGAGTGGTGAGCACACTTCATACCGTAGTTTGGTTTCTAAGTACCATTCTCCAGTAAAAGGACCCAGAGCTCTTTGGAGAAATCATTAACTTTGTGCCTGTGGCCGGAAAACAAAATAAATCTGTAGCATCTTGTGTTGCCAGAAAATAAATATTCTAAAGAAGATATGGATATGTGGAAAGGACACAGGACCCAAACCATAGCCACTCCCAACAGCCAAAGCTAGAATAGTTTGAGCAACAAAATTAATGATAGTGTTACATCATAACCTGTAGAATAAAACAAATACCCAAACTTTTATAAATAATTAGGTGAATAAATGAATGAGTCAGGGGAGGAGAAGGCGCAGCTCTTTCTTACAGATGACTTCTAATCCATGAATGTAGGAGGGAGGAGAGGAAAGGAGTGTACAATCAGACTGCTAACATTTAGTCACTCAGTAAATGCTGATGGAGTGAGTGTCTGTTGTCCTGGCTCTGCTCTAGGTGTTTGGGCTGCACTAGGGAAGAAAACAGGGAGAAAAATCCCTGCTCGTGGTATTCACAGCTTCTCAGGGGAAGCAGACAGGATAAATAACCAGGTTATGGAGCAGGTTATATTATTATAGATGCTACATGAAAAGTAACGGGGACTGGGGGCTGGCATATGATTTTATGTGGATGTTCAGAGTCTCACTGATGAGGTGACATGTGAGCCAAGACCTGAAGGAAGTGAGGGAGTAAG